TCTCCTGGGGGGTGTCTGAACCCCAATAACTAACCAGCCACTGTAGTCTGCTGCATCCACTGTTCTGTTCCACATGTATGTTTCTCTGTAGAGGCCTCTGAGGTTCCCAGTAGTCACTATGCATCTGCAGGTTTGAGCCACCCGCTCCACACAGTGAATCTAGGCTCAAGGAAAATGGGCTGGTTTCCACCTCCTTCCTCTTCATTAAAGTCTCTTTCTTCAATCTTCCCATTGGCTTCAGTTCTCCCTTCAGATCCTTTCTGGGTCCCATGACCCACTTCCCATCATCCTCTCCTCACACCACTATATTGCAGTGTTAGGACACCAAATCCCAGAAGACTTCTTTGCTTTTACGATTATAAACACACACACACACACACACACACACACACACACACACACACACACAGATTTAGAGTGGCTTTGGGTTCTGGACTAATTAGCTTTTCTCTTAATTTTGATGGCTCTACCATTTCCACTCTGACTGCTGGTAAATATGAATCATTCCTAATCATGCTACTTTCAGTGGTTCTTTCCCTGATCTCAGTTGATGCTTCTCATACATGCAAAGATCAGTACTTGGCCAAAGACCTGAGCTGACTTCTCTCCAGATCTCTGGAGTGCTGTTTATATCAGCATCTACATCTTTACTATTCTACCTCACAAATTCTAGCCACCTTGGGCTCCTGCATTCTGAGACCTGTCTTTGCATCTCAAGAAGACTATCTGCCTTTCTTTCATTTTTCTGCTTCTGAACTGAAGTCTAGAAACTTTCTCCAGGGAGTCAAGGCAACAGTGCCTGCCTGCCTTGTCTGTCATTCTTCTACTGGGTAGGATGTCCACCCCCCATGGCCTATCATTCAGCGTCTTATCCCATTGCTTAATATATACTGTCCAGTTGTCTAGTTGTTTCAGGACAGCTTTTCCATCATTGTTATTACATCATAATTGGCAGGAAGATGCTTTTAATTCCTAAGTGTTTTAGAATTTGTTAGTTGTCACGTGCCATTATTTCCGGGTTCTTCATGCCCTGCATGAATTCCGGAGGTGAATCCGCCGGTGACGGTGGTTCACGCCTGCGCAGAAGAGGCGCTTGGCTCGTCAGAATGACGCAGGCTGGCATTGACCAATAGAAATGGGCCACGTCACCCGAGAGGCTATAAAAGGCAGGCTCGCATCCGGCTCGGGGTCTTTCCGCCATTTTGAAGAATGCAGAAGAAACTCCAATAAAGCGTGCATCAGAAGAATCCTGAGTGTTGCGTGCTCCTTGCTGGCGAGGTGCGCGCGACAGTTAGTGATTTTTTTTTTTTTTTTTTTTTGTACAGGTGATCAAACTCAGGACCTTGTGCTTGTGAGGCGGGTGCAGTGCTACTGAGCTACATCCCAGGCTCTTGTTATTGATCTTTTAATAATGCATTTGTATTTTTCTTCATTGAAGGTTAGAGAATATGGCCTATAAACCTTTTTAAAAATTGTTAAAGTTCTCTTTCTAACTGTGCTCATGAATAATTTTTAAAATTTACTATGGATATAAGATATCCTATTTTGCTATTTGAGGGAAATAAAAAGTATGTATTAAGTCCAATTTATTAATTGTATTACTAAATTAATTTATGCATTTTTCAATTTTTGACTTTTTAATATGTTGATCTCTGAAATATACTATATATAATGTTTATATCACTCCTGTGATCATTGTACTTTTATCCAGATTTCCTTGTAGTTTTGTCCAGGTGTCCTTGTATTTCCTGTGTTTTATTTTTAAATACACCTATCTCTGTTATTTGGCCTGCAGTTCAATGGTTGCTGTGTCATTTCAAATTCCATCCCTCTGTGCTCAGTGTGGAAGATTCAGACACCTGGGGGCAGGAGTACCCATATGCCATGGCCTCTCTGTCTCTGCATGGTTTTCCATGTGGCAGGCCCTGCATGATGAGATCAGAGTGGGTGGACTTTTTCACATCATATCACAGCTCCCACGTTTCTGAGGGAAGGAGCCCAGTGAAATCTGAGTCACCTTTCATCATCTGATCTTGGAGGTCAAATGGCATCACATGTCATGCTTCATGGTTTGAAATTGTCCGTGGGTCCACTCAGGGTGAAGGGCAGAGTACATTGATCCTATCTCTTAGTGAAATAGTGGCAAGGTCCTATTGTAGGAGGAGTATGTGGGTTGAGAGCTATAATTATGGCCAAGACTGGAAAAACAGTCTTTTCCAGTCTGCTCCCTAGATATAATAGTTCATATCTGGTCCTCAAAGGAATGCTCACGTTTCTTCCTCCAAACCTCAAGTCTCATCCCACTGGGACATCAGCTTACCATCCCACATCTCACTGTCTACACCAAACCTAGGGTGCTTGTTGGACTCTTTAGGTATAGTTTCCTGAATACTATTCCTCTTAGTCTGATGAATATCAGGAGATTATCTGTTCCCACGTGACCAGTACATAATAAAAAGGAAGTCCTAAGGTAATTGCTATAGGCTCACCTGTTCAAGGAGAGTAAAACAAGATGCACACAGCAATCACTTGTCCCTAGAAATTCTGAAGCTACACAGGCACCTGTTACTCAGTCTGTAAGATAGCGATAATCCCTGTGGCCCTGGATCTGGCCTTGGGAACCTGCTTTTACCTCCTGAATTTGCTTCCTTGTCTTTCATGTGTGGCCCATGTTTGCCCCTGAGAACTTTTTGCAGCCTGACACTTTGGACAGAAGTTTTCTGCCTGTAGAAATTTGAGGGTCCAGAGGCCTCTTAGTTTTTTCCTATCTCTATGATTTTCACATCAAACTGATTCAATTCCTTTAAGACATTTGTGTTTCTCATCAATCTATAATTAACCTCATGATGCTAAATTCTTTCCAGAAAGAAAGGTGTACCCTTGCTGCACCCTAATTCACCACTCCTTCCTTCTGAAACCCTTTGCAATCTTCTTTCTCTTCTCCTGTCTCCACCACAAGGACCCTTGCCAGTTACCAAGTCCCAGCTGTGGTTTTGTCCGACCCATACCAGGATGCTCTTCTTTTCTCCTCCTCCCCTCCTTTTCCTTCTCTTTGGGAGTTCTCACTTTTTTGTTCTCATTCTTTTTTGTTGTTGTTGTTGTTACCAGGGATTGAACTTGGATCCTTGTGCTTGGGAAGTAGGTGGCAGAACCACTGAGCTAAATCCCCAGCCCTGTTCTCATTCTTTAGACATGGTGTTTTTGGAGATTGGCTCCCAGGTACTCCTGTACAGACACAGGGAGGTCTCGTGCTCTCTTAAGCTCATTGTTATCTCACCCTTTCTACTTCCTGGCTGCCACGAGGTGAGCAGTTTTGCTCCACCACACTTTCCGCCATGATGTTCTGTTTCACTTTAGATCTAAGTAATGGAACCAGATTGCTGTGGACTAAACCCTCTGAAACTGTGAACCCAAACAAACATTTCCTCCTTTAAGTTGTTTATCTCAGGTATTTTGTCACAGCAAGAAAGCTGCCTGATACTCTGAGGGACAGAGAGGAATCCTGAGTGCTTCCCTGCAGCTCACACCTCCCTGCTGACTTCAGGCCTGACATCTTCCACCAGACCCAGGCATGTCACCAAATGCAACTTCCCCTCCCCACACCGCCTGCTGCATTTCCTGTCTCAGACAGTTCTTCATTGTCACTCAGGTGCCCATACCCAAACCCAGCCTGTCCCATCCTCCTTGCACCCCGTCACGAAGCCCCTCTGCACAGCCCTTGATCCGAACCATCCCTCCCTCCCTCTCTCTGTCCAGCTGTGCCTGCTCTCCCTGCTATAGTCCTGTCCTTGTCTCTGGCTGGACAGGCTAGCTTTTCCAGAGCACAGATCTGGTCACATCAGCTCTGTTCACAGCCCTCCAAAGCCCTCTGAGGCTCTACGGTACCATCAGCAAATCCTCCAGGTTCCAGACTCACCCCCTCTGCAGCCCCTCTGCCCTGTGTCCAGAGCCACCTGCCTCCTTTGGGGTGCTTGAAAACACCCCTTTGCTCTTTCTCTGCTGGTAACATCTGCTTTCTGATCAGCCCTGCACCTCCTCATCTGCCTGTGGTCTTAGTTCTTATGTCACCTCTCCAGGAAGCCTTACTGACCCCCAGACTGAGTTCAGTGCCTGTTCAAAGCTTCCAGAGCCTCGTTTCAGCCTCCGTTTGCCCACCCAATTGTAAGTCCCATGGGGGTCATGGCAGGGGGAATCTTTCAGAGGCAGAGCCCCTTTGTGGTTAGGAGTGACCCTCTGGCATCGAGCCTGTTCAGATAACATCCTGCTGACAGTAATGAGCTGTGTGCCCTTGGGGGAGTTACCTAGCCTCTCTGTGCCTCCGTTTCCTCATATATCAAACAGGACCAAGAATAGCATCCTTGCCAGTGATGGTGAACCTTTTAGAGCTCTCAGTGATAACAAACTGCCCGCTGCAGCCTGCGTGCCATAGGTTCACCACCATCTATGATCTGGGTCATAGATCGTCAGAGACTAGAAGGTCTCTCTCTGGGGGTGCAGTCTCTGCCCAAGCAGCTGCAGTGTCCTGAAGCTGGGTGACAGTTGCCATTGTCCCTGTCCCCCTGCAGGCCATGCACCTGTGGGCGTTGGCAGAGGGAAGGACCCTGCTCGCTGTCAGCCGCTCTGTGTTTGGTGTTCTGTGTCGTTCCTATCTTTCATTCTTTCCCTGAAGGGGCCATTGGCCAGGTAAGACCTGAGTTGGATAGGAGACCGGGGTGAGCCAGTCTGCTCTAGTGCTGTGCTCTGGTTGTGGACGGGAGGAGAAGTGAGCATCCTACGGAGTGTGGCAAGTCACACTCAGCTGCAGAAGCAAGGGGCCTGTAGCATCAGGCAGGGACCTTGAGAGGCCAGGGGCCTTCGACAGCCGTTCTCCCACCATGCTATGTCCAGGCTCCTCACCTTCACTGGGAGGGAAATGGGGAAGGGAGGTGAGGTTGGCTCCGAGACCGTGACCCCAGCAGAGAAAGAGGAACTCAGGTCCCCGGTGAAAGGGAAGTCAGAAGTGAAAGTAACGGGAGGCAAAGTTTATTTATGATAAGGCACATGCAGGGAACAGCTGCCAAGCAATGGGTGTGCTATCCTACCAGCCTCTCCAGTCATGCCCTATACCATCCCTCCCCATATCTCCCTGTATCTGTGCTCACTGGTCCAGGGCCTGAGCTAGATGTGGACAAGGCCAGGGACCCCGCAGGAGGCAGCAGCGGACAGAGCCTGGTCCTGGTGGAGGGTAGCACTGAAGGCAGGAAAGGGCTCGAGGCTCTGGTGGCCCCAGGAGGTCAGAGTCTTGGCTCCAGGACACAGGTGGACAGCATGGAGGTGGATGCGCAGCAGGGAAGCACAGGGAAAGTGTCGGGGAAGGTGGACTGTTGCTGTCTTCAGGAGGCCTCAATGGAACAGACGGCAGAGCAGGTACAGACAAGGCCAGGCCTGGGCGCTCCCTGGAGTCCCTTCCCTGGCTCCTTGCCAGGACCCCACTCAGTGGGGAGCTCTAGGTTGGCTTGGGGTTGAGCACTCTGGACATAAAGAGGACGCTGTTGATCTCCTTATCGAGGATGGTGATCAGGAACGGCCTGATGAAGTTCACAATCACCGGGTCTACTTTTGCAGATGTCAAGATAAGTTTAATTCCTGTGGTGGCAGTTGCTTCTGTGCCGTTCTCGGCCACATCCAGCACAGCTCTGTGGAAGAACTGTGGAGACAATAGAGCATCACTCGGAGACGGAGAGGGCAGGAGGGCAGCGCGGAGGTCGACCTGGGACATTTCTCTGTCGATATTTAGGCTCGTCCGCCTGCTCCAGCCCTCACACAGGTGTGCAGATTGAGGCTCAGAGTCAGAGGCGAAGACAGATGGACAGACAGCCTGAGCCAGTCCTCTGAGCGCACGGCCTGTGCCCCCTACAGCCTGGAGGAGGGGCAGAGGCACCACAGGGCACCCTCTGCCTCCCCAGCAAACAGCTTCCAGCAGCCCCCACAGGAGGGAGCCGCCTTGTTGGCCAGCATGGGTCCCAGGATCTCTCCTGCCCCCACCTCCTAGAGCTTTGCTTTTTTTGTACCGACAATCGTCAGCATCTTCACACTGAGATACATCCCCAGGTTCCTTCTCCAGGTGGGCTGGAACTCAGCCCCCAGGAGTGCTGGGATTCTAGGCTTCCCTGGCCATGTCCTGACCACACAGAACACAGCTTTGCATCTGGCCATCTGGTCCCCACTGGCACAGGGTCCCCCATTCCCGTGCTCTTAGAAAACAGTGCAGACCCAAGCAGGGGCTTTGGGCTCGCACCGAGGACTCGGGAAGGCTGCAGGCTGCCCCTCTGTTCTCATGGTCGTGCCTCTGGAAAGCAGTCAGAGAGTTCCAAGCCCCCTTCTCCATACTCCTAGCACATTCCTGTCACCATAGCACATAGGTGTCACTATTACCTATCGCTACCACCTGTCCTGACAGGCAGGTATGCATGGCCCCCATTTCACAGACGACAAAGCCAAGGGTGGAAGACTCAGTGTCTGTCCGCAGGCCCGAGCCTGGCAGTGTGGACCGCTGTCTGATCCCGAGCCCACCGGTTCCTCACCACCAGCTCCAGAATGCATGACCTTGTGGGGGTCAGGGACCAGCCAACAACATAGGGTGGCTCTGGGGTGTTCCGGTCAGGTGATGGGGCTGAGAAATGCAGCTCTGCCCCGAGTTACCCAGCACTCCCTTGAGCTTCAAGTTCCAGCCTGGAGGACAGACTGCCTGACAGACTCACCTGGGAGATCTGCAGGTCCCGGGCACCCGTGATTCCCGACAGGTCAGCCTTCGGGGAGAAGACTTCCCTGATACCCAGCTCAGGGAGGATGCTTTCCAATTGGTAGTTTCTGGAGATGGAGAACTTGGGTAGGTAGAATTCGTCTATCCACCTAGGGCAGGAGAACCACGTAAACCAACCACCTGCCTCAGTGCCCATCTCCTCATGTAACAGTGTGGAGTCCTGGGTCCCTCCAGGCCCACCCTTCTCTTGAGGGAAACATCCTGTTCCCTCCAGTTCTTTGCTCGTGTGATGCTGGGGTTTGAACCCAGGGCTCCCATGCTGGGCAAGTGCTCTACCACTGAGCTGCGTCCCTAGCCCTTTCAAAATTAGTTTTGAGACAGCGTCTCACTAGGTTGCCCAAGCTGGGCTCAAACCAGCTAGCTGCCTGCCTCAGCCTCCCAGAGAGCTGGGATTCCAGGTGTGTGTACTCTTCTTAATTTATTCGTCACCACTGGCATCTGCTAGTGTCTACACATGCCAGGCAGTGTGCTAGGCCTAGACCACAGGCCCGCCGAGCCTGGCTCGGCCCCTCCCAGAGCCGAGTGGGAGACACCTGCCCAGGTGAGGGACCCTATAGTAAGTGAGAGACAGGGTGGGGTGCAAAAGCCTGCACTGTAGACTTCCTGGAGGAGGTGACATCATCGAGGCCGGTTCTGAGGAGGGGAGGAGCTGCTGGAGAAGGCAGGGCAGTGGGAAGGGGGGACAGGGGAGTGCACCTTGGAGTGGGGGGCAGCACGAGTGCTGGGGGAGCAGGGACCCATGGGGGCACTGAGGAGCCCCCTCGCGCTGAGGCCTCTCTGCCCCAGGGTCCTCTCCCTCTCTTTATATCCAGGGCTTTGTCACGGTGCGGGTCCGGTGCTGTCGTGCTGAGTGAACGAGCTGACAGCAGCCAGGCAGAGCGGATCCTCGCAGCCTCTGTCACACCCTCAGCCTCACACTCCTTTCAGTCTTCCTCTGTCTCCGAGAGGCTGAGGCAGGAGGAGCCACTCAGCATGCTGGGGCTGTGCCGAAGACGCCTCGGGACCTGCTCTCCCTGATGTGCCATCTTGTTAAGGAAGAAATAGAGACCGAAGCCACGCAGACAGCCGAGGACAGAAGGACCCCGACCTCCCCTGTGCCTGCCCCACTTCTCCCTCCACAGCCCTGGGGAGACCTGAGGTGGGGGAGGAGGGCCTGGGGGCCGGGGCTTCCGCACCTGGGCTGCAGGGAGTCCCTCCACTGCTTCAGCAATTTCCAGCTCAGCGCCTCCTCCACCCAAGGTATCCTGCCCTGGTCGGGGAGGATGAGGAGCGCGCTGGCATTGCCCGTGTATGGCAGCTCCACCACGGTGCAGGACAGAGCCTCTTCCCGGAAGTAGGGGATGCGCTGGTTCGCCAGCTTCATCATGGGCACCAGCACCCACCGCCTAGGACTCAGGTAGAACTTTGACTCCAAGGTGTTTCTGGGGTCAAAGGGCATCTTCCACGTGCCTGAGGGGGCAGCACACAGTGAGAGGGCTCTGTGAGCACCAGGGTGGCCCTGCTGGATGCCAGCTCTGCCAGCTCCCTGAGCAGTGACAGCACCCAGGGCGTAGGCTTGGGTCTGGAAAAATCCGCAGCAGGGGAGAAGCTACTGGGGATAAGGAAAGGCTAGAAGTGCAGTTTGGGAAGCGGGTGGGGAAATGAAGACCTGGTCCCTGTGGGAATGGGGAGGGGGCAGCAGAACAGGGAAGCTGGGGGCAAGGAGAAATGGGTCCCTGGGTCCTTAGAGAGGGACACCCTCTGCACCCCAAATCCTCCACTACCCTGAAAGGGCTTTGGGAGGGCTTGGCTGGGAGTGGGAGGAAAGAGCTGGACTTGCCCTGGTGGTGGGGAGGGCAGCGAGGGCAAAGCCCTTCAGCATGAGCTGTGGGGTGAGGGTGGCCCTCACAGAAGGCCGAGGCCAGAGCCAAAGTGGCCCAGGATCGGGCCTGGCACTGGTGATGTCTTAGGGGAGCGGTGCTGGATGTGCCCAAAGCTGTGATCTGAGTTGTGCTGGCCCTGGGTCCTCGGCTCTCGTGTGAGCCGCGTTTGCCCACAGACATCCACTCAGACCTGCCCTCTACAGAAGCCTGTGGTCCCCCCACCCCACCCCATCAGAGGGATGGAATTGTGCCCATTTCTGGGCCTTAGGGTCCAGCAGCCCCGGTATCTGCTTCCATTTCACAGCTTGTAGCTGTGTCCCATGCCAGTAGAGAGAGGGTCCCTGTTTAGCTGCATGCTCTGGCCTTCCTTGCTTTGGTCCTGCCCTCTCCTAGCCCATGGCAGTCTGGGCCCAGGCCATGACCAGTCCTGTGGTCTCCTCTGCCCTTCTCTCCTCATGGCTGCCTTGGATTCTTGCCTGTGATCTAAGAACCTGCCCTCCTTCTACCCAAGGCTATCCCAGGTCTGGGCCCCTTTGGTTCCACCCCAACCCTGACACATCAGCAGCGGGCCGCCTGCCTCTCTCACACACCGCCATCTTGGCTCTGGGGGCTGCAGGGCTTGTTATTTTGCAAAGGTAAAGTTCTGCTCTGGCACCCAGTGACCGGGGGCATGAAATACAGTGTGTGGGCCTTCTTGCCTGCATCTCATGGCATCTTGGCAAAGATGAGGCTGCAGTTCCCACCCACTTGGAGGGGTCAGAAAGGAGAGCTCCTCCCCTTTTTATGAACAAACAGCTCCGCTCAGACACAGGCTGACTGCATGCCCTGTGTCGCGGAACTCCAGCTGTAATTCGGACAAACCCTACCGGAGAAGGTGATCCTTACGGGCATGGCAGGCGCTGCCACCCATGCCCCCCCCATGATGGTGGGTAAACCCCTCTCACAACAGTTCACAGTGCCCGGACAGAAACAGCTCCAAAGGCTCAGAGTGAAGAGCTGCTTCCTCCTGACCCCGTGCCTGCCTGCCCCCTCACCTTTAAAGAAGACGTAATTCACCAGGACCACCATGGTCCTGGGGTCCAGGCCCTTGACCAGCCCCGAGATCTTCCCCTGAGTCTCCTTCTTCACGAAGTCATTGATGAGCTTCTCGGCAGCATTTGGGTCCTGGAAGTTGGTGGTGAAGGTCTCGGCTGCATACAGACTCCGGGCATTCTCCGTGAATGTGGACAAGAGCTGCAGCTGCTCCTGGATAAACAGGGCATTGCCCATGCTCAGCTGCAGCTTGTCGTTGGGCTGCCGGAGGGTGCGCAGGAAGTGCTGGATGCTCCGGTGGATCTCTGCCTCGGGGGTCTCCGTGAGGTTGAACCTGAGGCCTTGGAGGAGCTCCATCAGCTTGGCATTGAGGGCCCCCAGGGACATGACGGCCAGCGCGGCCAAGATGCTCACTGGGGAGAAGATGATGTTCTCGCTCATAACTTCCACAGTTAGCTTCTTGTAGAGGTTGAAGGCGAAGTCTGCGTTGCTGGAGGCCACTGTGAGGGTGTCCATGTGTACCCTGCTGTCTCCATCGTTGGGAGTCACAGTCTCCTGGGCTCCCGGGCCACATGGGTGGCAGAAGATGGCAGGGCAGAGCCCAGCCACCAAGAGCCCCAGAGCCAGGAGGAGCGACATCGTCTCCACTCTGAAAAGCAAAGACCGTCTAAGTGGGGAGGAGGACCAGGCGGCGCCCCAAGGCCTCCCACTGCTGCCTCCTGTGCCCTTGCTGGCTTCGTGACCTCCGACGGGCATGCTGTCTCGGACCCAGCGTGCACCATTACATTGTGCTGCCTCTCACCTTTGGAGGTGAGCGCTGTGATGGCTGCCACTTTTCCCAGTGGGGAAACTGGGCACAGAGAGGTGAAGGGACTTGCCCAAAACAGGACAGCAAGCAAGGAAGGAGGCAGGCATGGGCACACGCTCTGTCGAGTCAGAGCACTGCCTCCCTCCTGCTCAGTGGGCAGAGCCCAGGCAGAAGGATGAGAAGCAGGGATCCTCTGCTTTTGCGTGCTCCCCCCTACAGCCAAGACAGCCCAGGTAGGGTCCAGGGCCGGAGTGCAGGGCACCTCTCCGCCTCGGGGTGACAAGCCCAGTGCCTGGACCAGCAGGTCAACAGAGCGGGCATACAGGGCCGGAGCACTGGGAGAGCAGCTGCCCAGACGGTGGCCGGGGCCTGCTGGTGGAGAGAAAGCCAGGCTGGCAAGCGGGTGTCAGAGTCTGCAATGGGCTCCCCAGCTCCCTGAGCCCCAGCCGCTGTCTCTGTGCAGCACGGTGAGGGGCTCCCCGAGGCGAGTGACGAAGGTGCCTGGCGGTCACTGGGCCACTCCTCTCACAGTCCCCGGGCCCGGGACAGGGACCAAAGGGATAGAGTCCAGAGCCCCATGACTGCAGTGCACAGGGTCACTTACGTCCAGCATCAGACTCTCTGCCCCAGTCTATGAGGAGCCTTGAGGGCGGGGTTTGGGGGTCAAAGGACAGCAGGCCTGGAGCCCCCGCCCCAGGGCAACGGAGGGGACACAGCCTGGGACAGCGTTTGTTTACTCTTAGGCTGATGCAATCATTTCTTTGGAAGAACATGAACAATATTTTCCCCCAAAATTATTTCTGGAGAAAAGGGGCTGGTCCGCTTGAGCATGAGGGAGGCCAGGATGGACACGCAGCTTGTCTCTCTGCTTGGCCAGGGGCCTTGGCCTTGGGGAAGTGAAGTCCCCAGGGTAGCCTGGAATCATACCCGTACCCAAACTGACAGAGGCACAGTGGTGTGCACAGCCTGGCAAGGGCACCCCCGGGCCACACACACAGGAGGCTCCGTTCAGAATCCACCAGTGTCCCCAGTGATACTCCCATCCTTGGCAGAAGTAGGGACACAGATCCAGAGGAGACAGAGGCCCCAGAGCCCTGACTCCAGAGCCAGGACTCGGAGCCCCAGCTCTGGGCTGCCTCCCGCCAGCCGCCCCACATTTTCTGTATTCTGAAAGTGCACAGCCACACTGTCCCCGCCGCCGGGAGCCTCAGGGTTACTTGCCCTATGCAGAAGGCTGCAAGTAGAGTGCGGTTCGGGCGCTGTTGTCCGGAGTGCCAGATTCTCCAGAACCACCACGGCCTATTTATGCCCACAGGCTCCTCCCGCTGCTCTGGAACAGCGGGCCACGACAACCAGGCTCCTGTCTTGGCTGGAAGGGCCCCGCTTCCCATAACAGGGACAGTTTCTGGCAATGGGGACTCACTTGCCTCCTGGAACCACCTAATGTTGGGAAAATCCCCTCCCTCCATAGCAACAAAACCACTTTGTCTCATTAGTTTGTTTCCTGTGTATGAGATGCTCCTTGACGTGAAAAGAAGTCAGAAAATTACAGAAAAACTTGGAGAACATTTCCCAAATGTTTGTCACGAAGAGAGGGCCCCAGCTAGCATTATGGTATGTTTCCGGGTCACTTTTTATATTTTTGTGTGCACAATATAAATCTCCATGCAAACTCAGATATATTTTACACATACAAGGCTCTGTTTTTCTAGAGCTCAACGTTGGGTCTTCAGCACCCTTGGGTGCAGTGGCTCAGGGCCCTGCCCCTGCCCACAGGTGACCCTGGAGCAGGGCAGAGCAGCTTGCCTAGAGCACGCCAGCGGGGGGGGCATGGTCTCCAGGTGCCTCCTCTGCCCTGACCCCCATTCTGCTGTTCCTCACCAGTAGCTGGGTGCCCCTCTTCCCTGGCCTTCAGGTCCCCCAGATCTCTCTCCTACTGAAACTTGGGCCTGTCGTGGGCTCAGAGGCAGAGCTTTCCCTGGATTGCTCATAGTGACAACCCTCCATCTGTGACAGGTCCAAGAAATCTTGGAGCCTTTAGGTTTCTGCAGAGCAGTTTGGAAAGCACAGGCCCTGAGGTGAATTTTGAGCTTTGATAGGAAGAAGGCCCAGCTCGAACCCTGAGGCCACTACTCACCTCCCTGGAGGCAAACCCCCTGGGAACCCCAGCCCTCCCTCTTCCCAGCTGAAGATGCCATGTTGCTTCCCCACAGAGACGCAGTCTGAGAAGTGCCATTCGGGGTTTTGTCATGCATGCATCATGGGATGTACTGTCACAAGCCCAGCTGGTCTGGGCCAGCCATTTGGTGTAGCCCCCAGATGTGCCCATCGGAGGTTACTATCACTTAACGCAACTTGCTGTTTACAGGAAGCTTTTGTTTTGTTTTAGTTTGGTTTTTTTTTGGGGGGGGATGGAGACAGGGTCTCACTATGTAGTTGAGACTGACCTGGAACTCACTAGGTAGCCCAGGCTGGTCTCGAACTCATAGAGATCCTCCTGCCTCAGCCTACCTGCTGCACCACCACACCCAGCAAAAGAATTATCTATGCCTTTTTTGGGGGGGTACCAGGAATCAAACTCGGGTCCTTGCGCTTGCGAGGCAGGCAGCGGCACCATTGAGCTAAATCCCCAGCCCATGTTTACAGGAAGCTTTAATGAATAGATGAGCACTCTCAGATATTGACAGGAAGTATAGTACAGTAGATACATGAGCCAGAAGCCTAACATTGATTAGCACTGTCAAGGATCCTGTGCTCAGCCAGGCACAGTGGCACATGCCTGTGATCCCAGCACTCCAGGAGGCTGAGGCAGGAGGAGGTCTGAGGTCAACCTGGCTAACCTACCAAGGCCCCACCTCAAAAATAAATGATAAAGGAAAGGGCTGGATGTGGCTCATTGGACAGACCCTGGATTCAGTCCTGAGGACTTGTAACAAAAAAAGGGGTCAGGCAGGGCACGTAATTCTATCTACTGCATTTCCGTAGGTTCACACACCAGCAGCTCCGTGCAGGGTGAGGGATGTGCTGTGTTGTGCTGTGAAGCTACAACGTCACCAGACAACAGGGAGTTTTCAGTTCCGACCTAATCCTGTGGGGACACCTCGGAGGTGTCGGTGTGCTCCCGAGTGAACCGCAATTCCGTTATTCACCGCACGATGGCGCTGAAGACATGAGCTCCAAGGGGACTGGAGATTTTTGCATCGTTGAATAAGTAAATACTTGTTTGCTATAGAGCACTGACGTGACCGACAGAAGTTTGGTTCTGACCTGAATGATAATTTATGCAGGCTCTGAACACTTTCAGAGTTGAACCCAGGCACTCTTGCCCGCTAATCACACACTCTACGCTGACCTCCCCAGACCTAGCTACCTTTTCGTCTTTGAGGAGCGAACCCAGGCCCTCTGCACTAACCTACATCCCCAGCCCTGTTTTATATTTTCGTATTTGAAACAGGATCTTGCTAAGTCACTGTGTTGCCCAGGCTGGGCTCGAACTTTCGATCCTCCTGGCTCAGCCTCCCAGAGTGCTGGGGTTACAGGCCTGCTATCTTTAAATTACAAAGCACCCTACAGAATTCACGGCTGAAACAGGACTGAGGCTGATTTCCACCTCCTGTGGGCTGAGGGGGAGGCTCCACTCTGTCAGGAACCCAGGCTCCTTCCGTCTTGTTGCTCTGCCAACCCTGGGTGCTGTTTACTAGCCTGTTGCCATGACTACCTTCCAGCCAGTAGGAAGGGCAACTAGGAGGAAGAGACACACTTAAAGGCAGTGTTGCTTTCCACATGTCATTGTCACTGTGCAGCACTGGTAAGAGCCTGGCCACGCGACCATACCCAGCTGTAAAGGAGGCCCTGCCCTTTGTCTGAGCCCCACATGGGTAGCCAAAAACATGGGGTTCTTCATGAATTTAGACATTGGGGTGACAGTACCCCCACTGAGGCTTCTCAAGTTCTCCAGCTATGGGGAATAATTCTTTAACATTGTACTGACTAGTGAGCCTCCAGCCAATGTGGAAGCAGGTGATCCTCCACCATCCCCTCAGGATTTTTGAGGGATGGAGCTGATAGTCCAGGGACTCACTTGTCACCTGGAGCTCCAGACTCATGCTCTAGGGCCATCTGCCCCTCACCCTGCACCACCTCCCAGCCTCTTCGAGCACTGATATTAGGTCTTCCTTCAACCCTGTAAGCACCACCCACACAGGAATGGACTATGCTGTGGAGATCTCCAGGGCCCCACGAGAACATAAAGGAGCTGCAGCACAGAGGGGTGAAGCCTAGGTGACCCCAGATCCTTTCAGAATCCTCTGGCTCCCTCTCCTTGGAGGGACCCCTCTACTCATGTCCCTCCTGCTGCTGGGATGCCAGAGTTTTGGAGCCTGTGGGCCTCTGATTCAGCAGTTCTTCAAGAATATTCTCTCACTGGAGTCCAGGGTGCCCACATAACTCTAAACGTCACAAAAAGAAGCACAAAGGAAATCAGGGGCACACTCGTGCCTGCAGAGATGTTTATGGGCTCGAGGAAGAGCACCTTGCACGTGGACAGCCCTGCCTTACTCAGTGTGTCCCCACAGCAGCACCCTGAGGCCTTCTGGTTCACAACCTAATGCTATTCTGGGTGACCTGGGTGCACCCTAAGGAGGAAGAGGCACTGCGTTCTGGGCTAAGCTGGGAGCAGCCCTCTCCGCCTGTTTTTCTGCATTTGGGTTTCCTCTCCACTTTGGCTTCTGGACACACATTTATTTTGCATCTTCACAAAGGGGTTCCAAACTGGGTCATCCTAGAGCACATCCGGGGCCTTGTCTGAGAGCAGCATTCGGCTTCCTGTCCACAATAAGGTGCAATGGCATTCAAGATAGTACCTACTTCTGTGTGTGCAAAGCACAGGCTGCAGAGTGCTTTCCTAGACATCATCCATTTGTCCCACCCTTTAGTCTACAGATGCCTACAGAGTGCTGCATGTGCCAGGCATGAAGAAAACGAGCAAGGACTATGCTCTCCAGGCGACACCGTCTCTGCAGTTTGATAACAGGTCCTGTGAAGGAACGGGGAGACTGGAGACTGTGGGGATCATGAGTATTGGTTGTAAGTATTGTTAACTTTAGTAACTCTATATGTGTTAAATTTCTCCAGTTTAGCAGGTAGAGTGTTTCCTTTGTGGAATTCCTGAAAGTTACAGTTTCTTGTCTCTGACCTTTAGATGTGTGGTTGTCCAGGTTACTACTACTTACGGTGGGTTGTTTTTGTTGAACCTGCTTGCTCTTTTCCTGTGTGACCTTTCAGTTACTATGGTAAACCCATCCCATAATAGTTTGTGGTTTTTTTTTTTTTTGCTTTAAAAGGCCGGTGCTTGCCGGCAATAAATGCCGCCTTGATCAGACTCTTGTCTTGGCGTCCTTCCTTTCTCTCTGCCCCATTTCCACCCCGCTGCTCTTTCAGGTTTGAGACACTGCTGGACAGTGCTCTGCGTCGCCGGCTCGCGACAGGAGACGCCAGGCTCTGTAAAGTTGGGACTGTGGTCGAGTAGTCTCTCCTTCACCCCACCTTTGTTCTTCTACCAACTCCCGCTCCTGCTCTTCCCTTCTTCTCCTCTTCCTCCTTCATCTTCCCCTTTGAAATCCTTCACAAACTTATAAACTGTCCTTAGCCGGCAAGACACAGGCTGTGGTCTCCGTGGACCTGGCCCCAGAGATTCATGTGCTGGAAGCTTGAGCCCCAGAGTGGGATGTTGAGGTAGAAGAACCCTCAAGAGGTGGGGGCCTCATAGCAAGTGGTTAGGGCTTCGAGGGTGCCACTCTCAGAGCTTGATGTAATTCTTGCAAGACCTTGGTTAGTTCCCACAAGTGAAAGAGATGTTCCAGAAAGAGTCTGTTTGGCTCCAAATAAGTTGCTTTCAGCCTTCCCCTCAAATGCAGGAAGCCCTTCCAACTTGAAATTTTCTCCCCACGAAGCAGAACACCACATACTTGGATCTCTCCCAGGGGAGGGCTCTCAGCACCTTGCTAAATTCTGCTTAGTTTCCTAGATCAAACAGAAAGCTTTGCATAAGCCCAGTGGCCGGATTCACTGAGACAGAACAGCTGCACCCATCCTACAAATGAACTTAATAACTCATCCACAGGCCACCAAAATAAACAGAAACCTGGGATCCGTGGGTCAGGCGCCCAGTGCTCTTTGGTCTTGGCAAAGGCACCTGGTCAGCACTGTACCTTGGGCCTTGTGCTCTGGGGATAGCAGGTGCTGAGCATAGGTGCTGACGGATATCCGGTCCAATGGAGGATAAGTGCAGAGCCTGGGCCGCCCTGGTGAGTTCC